GTATTTGCAGCCTGCACCCAAAGTTGATCAAGCACGGCTAACATTTCCTAAGGCATACAGGGTTAAGAATGTGTCCCACTCAAGGTAGTCTTCTCTAGTTCCATCCATATAAATGCAAAGTTCATGATGTTTGTTCTCTTTTCAGTATTCCATTGTGTATATGCACCAGATTTCAATTATTCATTAATCAGTTGAAGAACATTTAAGTAGTTTCCATTTCCTAGCTATTGTAAATAGAGAAAGCAGCAGTGAACATGACCGAGCAAGTATTTGTAAAGATTTCCAGTCTCTTGGACATAATGCCAGGGAGTGGTATAGCTGGGTCACATGGTAGATTTAATTTTCGCTTTTGAGGGTTTTCCACAGTGATTTTGAAAGCAGCTGTACCAATTTCAATTCCACCAACAGTGAATGAGGGTTGCCTTCCTCTACATCCTCTCCAGCTTTTGCTGTCTGTTCAGTTGATCTTTGCCATTCTGACTAGAGTAAGATGAAATCTCAAACTTTGTACCATTATCACATTATTTTTATTATTATGCTTCTACAATATATTTTGAAATCTGGAATTGTAATCCCTCCAGCATTGGTCTTTTTGTTTAGGCTATCAGGGGTCTTTTGAATTTCAGGATAGTTTTTCCTGTTTCTATTTTGAATGAGATGGGGATTTTGTTTGAGGTTGCACCATTTTCATAATATTGATTATAATCCATGGAGTGTCTCCCCATTTTCTAGTATTTTCCTCAATCTCCCGTCTTCTAAGATTTAAAGTTTTTATTATAGATGACTTTCTCCTCCTTTGTTAAGTTCATTTAAAGAAATTTTATCATTGTTGATGCTGTTGTAAACAGGAACGTTTCCATGATCTCTCTCTCTGTGTCAGTTGTTGGTGTATAGATAGGCTACTGTTTTTTTGTAAGCTAATTTTGTATCCTGCCATTTCACTGAGATTTTTATCTTTTCTAGAGGTTTCCTGGTGGGATTCTTTTGGGTTTCTTATGTATGCCATATCACCATAAGGATACTTTGATTTATTCTTTTCCTCTTTTAATTTTCTTTTCATGTTTTATTGCTCCAGCTAGTGCTTTAAGCACAGTATTGAAAAGGAGTTGAGATAGTGGACAGCCCTGTCTTATTCCTGGTTTCTAGGCAGGAGCCCTTGGAGTTTTGCTGCTGTGGAAGCAATGAGCATGACTTTGAATTGCCCATTCCATTTTTGTTGTAGGGTATTTGTGATGTGTGGAGTTCTGAGATATACTCATTGTCCAGCCTCAAGGTGGAGGTTTAGGTTAAGTAGGGGGTGTGGAAGTGTTTGGTCTATGTTGGTCCAGGCTTTGTCTGAGGTGTTGGAGGAGAGGAAGTTGCACCAAAGAAGGTAAGCATTGAATGGAGGGAGCTGGCAATCCTGGGGTCGCAAGGAATCTGCCTTCTAAAAGTTTAAAGGCACTTGGGTTTATGGCTTACATAGGAGGGAACAGACCTTTAGGGGACCAGTGGGAGAAGTTTGGTCCACTCTAAATGCAAGTCTAGGGATAGTTTGGTTAGAGACTCTTTTTGTATGCAGTTCATGTGTTCCACTTTGCCAGAGGATTGGGAATCGTATGGGATGTGTAGGTTCCATCCGATATTAAAGAACGTGGTTAGACATTTGGAGATAAATTCAGGGCGTCAGTCTACTACTGAGAACAGGAGAGGCCCAAACTGAATATTATGTCTGTGGTGGTGACTTTAGAACTGTAGTGGCATTTTTGCTGGGTGTGGGAAAGGCTTCAACTCCTCCTGAAAATGTGTGTAGTAGAACAAGAAGATAATCCGTACCTTCTAGACAGAGGCATTTGAGTTAAATCTACCTGTCAGCCAGAAGCTGGGAGAGACCAAGCGTGCCTGATGATCTGGAGAAGGCAGAGTTGGGGTTAGTGGTTTGACTGGTTTCTGCAAACAGAGGAGACCTATTGTAGCAGTTGTTTGTCCTGTGGAGATAGGTAATCCCATGTTCGCAGGAACTGAGTGAGGGCTGGAGGTTTTAGGTGGAAGAGATTATGCAGAGCTGAAAAGAAAAAGTTGTTTGTTGAGCCTTGTGTAAGATTAACAGTTGATTTTGATAACACCATGACCCATCCCAGGAGCCATCTTGTGGAGTGATTTTGTTTTGCTCTGCTTAGTAATGGGGGAAGAGTATTAGTTTTTGGAAGGGAGAGTGTGTGGGGGATTGTTTAACAACATATTTGTCAGCTAAACTGTTAGTGGTGGAGACATTGGGAATTTGGTTGGTGTCCCCTGAAGTGAATGATAGTATCTAGTTTTGACTTCCTTGTAAGAATTTGTGTTTAAAAGTGCCATTTTGAATTAGAGTGTTGTATTGGGTGAGGAAGCCTTGTTCCCACCAGATGGCTGCATCAGAGTACATCGTATTGTATGTGTATTTGGAGTCTGTGTATAGGTTGATTATGGTATCTTTAGCCTGTAGGAGAGCTGTAGTAAGGGCTGTAGATGGAGTGTGAGTGGTATGCTGTAACTTATGGCTTTGCGTATTTGGAGCTATAGGTATTTATTTATTTATTTATTTATTTATTTATTTATTTATTTATTTCTGTTTTCAAGACAGGATTCCTGGCTGTCCTGGAATTTGCTCTGTAGACCCAGCTGGCCTCAAACTCAGAGATCTGCCTCCCAAGAGTTGGGGTTAAAGGCTCATGCCACCATTGCCTGACTTAGAGCTATAAGTTGTATAATAGCATAAGCAGCTCTTTTGTGCCCCTTAGAGGTGCATCTGTCTAAGAACTAATCAGGGGCATTAGGTGTTGTGTATTTAATTGTCTTAGTGTTCCTTTGCTGTGAAGAGACACCATGACTAGGCCAACTCTTATACGAAAACTAATTTATTTGGGGCTTGCTTACAGTTTCAGAGGTTTAGTCCATTATCGTCATTTTGGGGAACATGGCAACATGCAGGCAGACATGGTGCTGGAAAAGTAGCTGAGAGTTCTATATCTGGACCTAACTCCATTACACTTCCTGGTACTCCTTTTCTTTTCAAAGTGTACATTTGTATTTTTCCTTGCTCAGCTTGCTCTTTTTTGTTATAGATCTGCATAAGAATAGACACTGATAGCCACAAGACTGTCAATACTAGGCAGTCTTGAAATCTCCTTTGCCAAAGCCATTAACCCAAAATTCTTCATTTTAGCTTCAGGCAGGTTTTTTTTGGATACCTGCAAAAAGCAGCCACATTCTTTGCCAATATTTCTCAAGGATGGTCTCTAGGCTACTTATTAATATTCTTGTCCTTTGAAATCTCTTGAGCCACGTTGTCATAATATACATTGTTCTCAGCACTGCCATATTTTACATCCCTACTAGTATGGCCCATTAAGCCCCATTTAAAAGCATTAAACTTCTTTCCTAATCCAAACTCCCAGAGTTCACATTCTTATAACAAACAGCATGGTCAGCCTGTCACAACAATAGTTCAGTCCTGGTACCAACTTCTGTCATAGTCTGTTCTAATTATGTGAAGAGTTACCATGACCATGACCAGGCCAATTCTTAAAAGAGAAAGGATTTAATTGGGGCTTGCTTACAGTTTCAGAGGTTTTAGTTCATTGTCATCATGGTGGGGAACATGCCTGCATACAGGCAGACATGGTACTGGAGAAGTAGCTGAGAGTTCTGCATCTGGATGCACAGTAATCAGGAAGAGAAAGACACTGGGGGTGGGGTGACCTTTAAATCAGAAGGGTTTTAATAATTGTTTCAATGCCCTTTTGTTCTGTATCTGTTAGGTTAGGTTATTGATTTCTTCTGGTTTAACTTTGGAGTTTGGATAAATCTAGAAATACATTCTTTTATGTTTCCTAACTCCATTAAATGAGTGCAGTTTTTTTTTTTCTCTTTTAATGTTTTGGTATGATATTCAGAATTTCTTTGATCTTTGTTGTGATGTCTCCTTGTTCTTTTCCAACTCATTGGAGAACAATTCTGTAGGACTGGTGGATTTGGGGGTGGCTAGAATACTGTATTGATTTTTCATGTTTGTATTTTTGTCGTGAGGCCTAGGCATGTGGACTTCTTTTGTTAGTTCTGGGTCTGATATGGACATAGCATACTGGGACACAGCACATGATGTTAGGGTTGGGTTTGGCTTGAAGTGTAAATATGATGTGGGTGGGATGAAGTCAGGTGGACTTAGAGGGGTGGACTGGTGCACAGTATGTGTATTCTGGTCCATTGGAAGTTAGGGGTGGGGTGGGCTGGGGTCAGATGAGAAGGGAACACTAGATTTGGACCTGGGCTAGAGCTGGAAGGGAGGAGATGGTAAGCTTGCCAGGTGGATCCCAGTGCAAGGCATATGGGGCCAGACTGGGCCTGGAAGTTGGATATAGCTTGTGGGGGGGGGAGGGGGAAGGCCAGGAGTGTGAAATCAGGTGGTAGGAGGAGGTCTGGGCTACTGCATAGGTATGTGCACTGTCTGAAGCCTGGAGGTTGGTGGCAGTACAGACAGGGCTGACCAGACGAGGCAGGGGCACTGCATGTGGGACCGAGGCTGGATCTAGGGGTTGGGAATGGTGCCTCAGGAGGACATCTGGTGGGCTCACCCTGCTGTACCCTGCTGTAAAATGTGTAGCACTGGGCTGCTTGGTATGAAAATCTTGTCTCTTGTTGAGTGGCTGCTTCCAGCTTTGCTTCCTGTTACCACAACTTGTCATGTGGTTGAGCAGCTGGAAGGGCTTAGCATTCAGTCTTTGGGCAATTTACTGTTGATGTTCAGACAGGGTTTCAGGAGACTTTCCAGCTCAACTCGAGTTAAGTAGGATTTCTATGCCCAGGAGCAGACTTTCTGCAGAGTTCTAGGATTCTCACAGCCAGTCTTCAGGAGCCTGGGGGGAGGTCCTCATGACTTCCCCTCAGGCAGTGGGTGCTTGTGGAACTGGCAATGCAAGTGTGGAATCCCTATCAAAAATACTTAGTTTTAAGGATAAAAATGTTATTTCCTTTTCTTTTAGATCTTACCTAAACTTGCCATGCCTGCATGTCCCTGGGATCAAGCAATGAAACAGAGCTTCGCCTTTGACAATGTCGGCTATGAAGGGGGTCTGGACAACACCTGCTCACCCCCAGCCACCACCAGCATGGTTAGCATCCTGGGCATGACTTGTCACTCTTGTGTCAAGTCCATTGAGGACAGGATCTCTAGTCTGAAAGGCATTGTGAACATTAAGGTTTCTCTGGAACAAGGCAGTGCCACTGTCAAATATGTGCCATCGGTTATGAACCTACAGCAGATTTGCCTTCAGATTGAGGATATGGGCTTTGAGGCCAGCTCTGTGGAAGGAAAGGCGGCCTCCTGGCCATCCAGGTCCTCCCCAGCCCAGGATGCTGTGGTTAAGCTCCGGGTAGAGGGCATGACCTGTCAGTCCTGCGTCAGCTCCATTGAAGGCAAGATCCGGAAACTACAAGGGGTTGTGAGAGTCAAAGTCTCCCTCAGCAACCAAGAGGCAGTCATCACCTACCAGCCTTACCTCATTCAACCTGAGGACCTCAGGGACCACATCTGTGACATGGGATTTGAAGCTGCCCTCAAGAACAGAACAACCCCCTTAAGGCTGGGACCAATTGATATAGACAAATTGGAAAGCACTAACCTCAAGAGACCAGAAGTTTCTCCTAACCAGAACTCCCGTAACTCTGAGACCCTGGGGCACCAAGGGAGCCACATGGCCACCCTCCAACTGAGAATAGATGGAATGCACTGTAAATCATGCGTTTTGAATATTGAGGGAAATATAGGCCAACTCCCAGGGGTTCAAAATATTCAAGTGTCCTTGGAGAGCAAAACTGCCCAAATACAGTATGACCCTTCTTGTACCACCCCCTTGTCCCTACAGACGGCCATTGAGGCACTGCCACCCGGGCGTTTTAAAGTTTCTCTTCCCGATGGAGTAGAGGGCAATGAGCCCCAGAGTGGGTCTTCCAGTTTTCCCTCCCCTGGCTCCTCCCGGCAGTACCAGGAGCAGGACCCGTGTAGTACTGCAGAGCTCACCATCACTGGCATTACTGACACATCGTCTCTTGAGCCTATGGAAGGCATGCTGTCCCAGCGGAAAGGTGTGCTGCGAATATCCATCTCAGTGGCCGAAGGAACTGGAACAGTTCTTTACGATCCCTCAGTAGTTAGCTCAGATGAGCTCCGAGTGGCTGTAGAAGACATGGGATTTGAGGTGGCAATGGATTCTGGTATGTCATTGTTACCTGTTTGAAATATGTCTGGGATCCTTTCTTGATGTCTCACGATAGTTCTCAGGTAGTTAGATAGGTGGTCCCTGTCACTGCCTCACATGTTGGCAGCTATAGCCAAGTTTGCTGACCTTTGCTCATTTGTCATTTGCTAGTAGCAGGAGAATTGCTGCCTCTCACATAGCTGATGCTCAAATGATAAGATGCTTGATATGGGCTCCTTTTCTAGAGAGAATTCTGGGTGTGCATTCTATAAATGAGCATTGTAGGACTGTTAGACTCTTCTCTTCCTGAAGGAACAGTTGCTACTTTCTCTGAAGATTTCTCTACAACACAAAACAACATAAAAGCAATAGAACGAGCACTGGCTGCTTCCAGAGGTTCTGAGTTCAATTCCTAGCAACCACATGGTGGCTCACAACCACTTAAAATGAGATCTGGTACCCTCTTCTAGCGTACAGGCATACATGCAGACAGGATACTGTTTGCAAATAAGCAAATAAATAAATAAATAAATAAATAAATAAATCTTTAACAACAACAACAACAACAAAAAGCAATAGGACTTTAGTTTTATGGGGCACGGTGTCACATGCCTATAACCAGAGCTTACGAGACTTGAGGGACCACCCAAACAAACAAACAAACAACTGATGTAGGAGGATGTATGTTCAAGGACAGTAGCTAAGTAGCTGGGCTAAGTAGCAAGACCCTGTCTGAAAAACAAAATGCCATACATTGTGGCATATTGCATGCCTGTAATTTCAGACCTTACAGGGATAGTGGAGGCAGGAGGATCAGGGTCAAGGTCTTCCTCAGCTACCTGGCACGTTCAAGCCTAGTCTTGGCTACGTTAGTCCCCATCTAAAAAAACCAAACGAAAACCAAGCAAAGCCTCCAAACTTGCAACAACTGAAGGATTGTCTGTTTAAAGTAGAAATTAAGGGGAGGGTTTTACAATGACTGTTCCTGCTTTCTTTGATGGCTTTTAGATAGAGCCTTTATGGAAGGGTGGGTGTGACAGGGCTCACAAAGAAGGGCTCCCATTTTGAGATGGACCATTATCAGGTCGAACTCCCTGAGTAGCAGCCACCCCTGCTCCTCTTTCACAACAAGCTCTGTAGCATCAGTTAAATGCCTCTGCTTCCCACATGGTAGGGCCTGTGCTAGCTGTGAGGCTACTGTATGAGAAAGTCCATCTGAGAGCTTCCTTGTGATGGTAGGAAGCAGTGGAAGAGTTAAACTACTACTTGATCTGGGAGAGTTTCTTCCAGGATGGTGTATGGTGGGAAGTGGGAGATAGCGAAGGAGGTGTCTTGGGCAGTGTAGTCAGTGCTTTGGGAGGAGCTTTAGAGGAGTGCAGAGTGACTTGAGCAGGACCAGAGGCTGGTTCTTGACCCAGCACATCAGGAAGTCATAGGTCGGAGACACCAGACTTGGGTCAGAATGAGGGCTGTGTATGACGGGAAACGGCCCTGGAGGAGAAGCAGAGCCCAGAGTGAACTCCTCCCTGATGCTGAAGGACAGTGTGGAACTGGAGATGTAGATAAGTTGAAGGAGTGCTGGAGGGAAAGCGAGTGAGATGAACTAAGTGGGGTTGGGAACACAAGTAGCATTTTCCAGATGGCAACTGGAGGAGAGGGCAGCCTCTTATATTAGCTCAAGAGGCCATGGAAGCTATGTTGAGCAGCTTCTATACATTTAGCTAGGGAGAGGCTATCAGTCCTCTGTACACAAGGAAAAGTAGGAGCCTGGCTTTCCTAGGGAAGCTGGGGAGACTTTCAGTAGAGCAGAGGGCATGCAGAAGGGGACAGAGGTAGCATGTACCAGAGAGGCCCAAGATGAGAAAGGCCTGGGTACTTCTTCTTCCTTCCTTCCTTCCTTCCTTCCTTCCTTCCTTTCCTCCTTCCTTCCTTCCCTCCCTCCCTCCTTCCCTCCCTCCCTCCCTCCCTCCTTCCTCTCCATTTCTCCCTCCTTTTGTTACCCAGGTTCATGTCAAACTCTTTGGACTTAAGTGATCCTGACAACAGTCTACTGAGTTGGGGACTAGAGCTGGCCGGCATATTTGCTGAGGGGACAGCTCTGAGTGGTGATTTTGCGAAACACCTCAGTTTCCCTGGTCTGTATATTGGGCTAGATCATAGTGGCCACTGAAGCTTTTGCCTGGAACCTGCTGCCGCTCTTGTTGTGTCTGTTCTGGCCCTTGGAGCTACTTAGAGAGCTCCCTGGCAAAGCCCCAGCAGCATCAGGGCCCCTGGACTTGTTTCCCACACTCCATATCCTCTGCACACTGAGCTGAGCTGTTTCCTTGGAAAGACTGCTCTATTGGGATGCTTTACCGACTCCACTCCATACCCAGCCACAGCCCCACCCCAGCAGGTGCAGCATGGGAAATACAGAGGCCACATGCTTTTTTCTTTGTTCCAAGGGTTGTTTTGTTTCCTCACCACGTTCTGTTCTCCACACCCTGGAAAGAATGTGTGTGTGTGTTTAAACAAAGTCAATAAAGAAAATAACAGAACAGTAAGTCTTGTACTCCAAAGACATATTAAGAAGGCTCAGAATAAACTGTTTTGTGAAAGGCTTAATCTTTCAGTGGTACAGTCAGGTTTTGGCAGCAAAAGAGAAATGACCATGGAACTACCTATTAAAAGTAATTGAACTTGATTGAGTAAACACAGGAAGAAAAGAACTAATTTTTATTAGGTAGAACTATGAGGATTACATTCACTAAGCCCCAGAGATGCTTAGAGTGTGGGACCTAGTGACTAAAAATATAAACACTCAGCTAATTTCAGATAAGTACTAATGGTTTCTTTTGTATAAATATATTCGCATTGAAGAGATGTTTACATTAGAGAAGATTGGCAATGATCTGGAAATGAAATTTAACTGGACATCCTGTGTAGGCAATTTTCATTTAGGTTAAATTGCCAGTGAGCTTATGATACTGAAGAGCTGGTACACCCTAAGGTCAGTGGAGGTTATTTGCCAGGTCACAGAAAATGAGAAACACATCCTAACAAACACTGAGATTTGCTCAGAAGAAAAAGTTAGACCCATAGCTTGTTGTCAGTGTAAGTGGTTGCTAGTCACTGTACTTGTAGTTGCCTGTACTTGTGGTTTAGAATGAAGTCACACTATTTCCATTTCTACATATACTTAAGGGTATTTTGCATTATCAGATGGAATGACGAAAATGTTTCTATAATTAGACTGAATGCTATTTGCCTTGGCCACTGTTCTGTTGCTGTGAAGAGACAACATGACCAAGGCAACTCCTACAATAAAAGAAAGTGTTTAGTTGGGGGCTCGCTTACAATTTCAGGAGGTTAGTCCATTATTATCATGGTGGAGAACAGGTGGCAGGCAGACAGGTGTGGTACTGAAGAAGTAGCTGAGAGCTACACAGGTGGAGAGATACTGGGTCTGGCATGGGCTTTTGAAAGCCCACTCCCAGTGACATACCTCCTTCAATGAGGCCTCACTTCCCAATGCTTCCTAGACAGCTGGGGACTAAGCATATGCAACCATAGGAGCCCCTGGGGGCCGATCTTATTCAGACCACCACAGTGTTCTGTCTGTGTGTATGCTTATATGGTAGGTAAAAGAATGGTCCCCACAGTATCCACACTTGAGTACCTGGAATCTGTGAATGCATAACCTCAGATATCATAACAGACATTATACATGTGATGAAAAGAGTGAATCTTAGCTAGGAAGATGCTGAATTACCCATAGTGGACCCAGCTATGTTCTATCATTTAATAAAAATGGAGAACCTTTCCTGACTGGGTCAGATTGATGTGACAACTGAAGGGACATTTGGGAATATCAATTTGTGTATCTTATTCTAAGTAAGTTGTACCGTCAGAAAAATTACAATGCTATAGTAATTCATAGATAGATAGAAAAGATCAATAGACATTATGGAGCCAAGAGGCAGCCCTATGTGTATATTATTAGTGTTGCTGGAAGTCTGGGGAGAAGGTGTTAGTCTTTCCAGGCTATGGAAGGAGATTAATTTCTTTCCAGCCAGCTCTGGGTTTAGTGAGAGATGCTGCTTCAATAAATAAAGTGAAGAGTAACCAAAGAAGACTCATGATGTCAACTGTGTCCTCCATATGCATGTCTACCTGCATGTGGCCCCACACATGCATGTGCAGACACGTGATATCAACCCGCATTCTCCTCATGAATTTATACTGACATGTACCCCCCCACATAAGTAGACATGCGATGTCAACCTCTGTCTTCCACATGCATGTATATCCACATGCACCAACACTTATATGTGTACCCAAACACATACTCATGTGTGGGTGCGCACCCACACACACACACAAAACATACACAGATCACATGTATGCACAAAGAAACCTGGGGTTTTTAGAGGAAAATTTTGTATGAATATTTTTGCCAAGGTGAGATAGAATCTATTAAAAGTACTAAGCATTTACAAAGGTTGATTTTTATTAACATATGAACTTTGTTTACCAAAAGACATCTTCAGAAGATGACAACACAAAGCAAAGGCCTGGAGGGCACATTTGCAATGCTTGTTACTGACCAAGATATCTGAAAGAGACAGGAGGGAGAGACAGTGTTGGAAATCCCAGTTCCCATGCTACTTCTCTAGGAGCTTTAATCTGAGTATTGTTACACTTGAACCCCCTGCTGTAACAAGCAAAGTTGCTTTCTGTCTTCTAATTATTTCTCACATTTTATTATAGAAAACTTTCCTATCAACCATGTCAGAAACTTCGGCTCTGGGAATTCTGTGCCACATACCATGGGTGGCAGACCAGTGTCTGTGCAGACCATGACTTCCAACAACACTAGAGGGGTCCCCACAAACTGTGATCCTGGCCACTCGTCACATACCTCACTATTGCCAGGAATAGCAGCCCCACAGAAGTGCTTTCTACAGATCAGAGGCATGACCTGTGCATCCTGTGTGTCTAACATAGAAAGGAGTCTTCAGAGGCATGCTGGTAAGAGGCCTGCGGCCATGTTGATCATCTCTCCCTGGACTGTATTCATCAGGAACCCAGACAATCTGGCGGCAAGCCCATCACATGATTATGTTGATGTTTGTCTAATGTCCTTGGTGATTGGCATTCTGTCCCTTAAAAATCACATATTTTATTACAAAGTATATATGTCTTGAGTACATTAGCCATGAAAGTCTAGTCTGAAGGTCGTGGTATGGTCTATGGAAAGATTTCGTCTTGATTAGCTTTTCCCGGTATTACTCAGTCTCCTACACATATCCTGCTAGTCCTTCTCTAGAAAATGGAAAACTAGCCTGCGCTTAAATTGTCTAGTTTTGGATAATCTGTCTCATTGATTCCAGGGGCTGTAAGTTTCTGTTGTCTGCTGGGTTTGCCCCCTAGATGATGTTTATAACATTGTTCCTTAAGCCTGAAAGGGCAACAATAATCTTGTTTTTGTTTAGAAATACTTTGACCGAGGCTCTACCTGTACCACAGGAGTGCAGTTGAGCCAGTGCTGCATGGGGCTTTCTGTTCTGACTCCTGGCCCTTCATCAGGCTTAACTTAGGATGTCCTGTTTTACCAGCCTTCTGTTCACTTTTCAAAACTACCACAGCTCTTGGGCCATCATCCTAAATGGGGGTGTTCTGTGGGAGGACCTTCATCAACTGTGGTCTGGTTGTGGATAAATTAACATATGATTTCTTGGTACTTACGGTTCTGTGCCTGACTTTAACTTCTTTCTTCTACCTTTTATGGTGTATTTTCTAAAGCATAGCACACCTTTCATTTATTTGAATGTGACTCTTCTCTTTAAACTGACACAATTGTATTAGCCGGATGGTTTATAGGCTTTTCACTTTTAGAAAGCCTTAAAAATTTGAGAAGAGTAAATAAAACCATTTTTGAAAATTTTTAATGCCAGAAAGGGAAAGAAAAGTATGCCCTTTCTGTGACAGTGGTTGTGATCACTGCAGCTACATCCGTTGCTTTGATGTTCGTGCAACAGTGGGCCTACTAAAGGCTTGGCATCCCCAGAGGCTGGACGGGCATTTGGAATCTCAGACCTACCAAATCGAGTCTGATTTAACAAGGTTCTCAGGTGTTTCATATGTCCACAAATGTTTGAGACGTGTTCTTTTTGGAGCAGTAGCTCTCTATCCTGAATATAAGTGAGAGTCACCTGAAAAACATTTTTTAAATGACATCTGGCACTTACTCTGGAAGATTCTGAGTTGTCAGGTCTGTGCTAGGAGGCATCACAGTTGTTCATGGCTCCCCAAGTGCTGCTCATGCCCATCCAATCCTGTAGTGCCCTACAGGATCCTTAGGGAGGTATTTTTCTTGGTTAAACTGTGCTGACAATACCAGCCCCGTTGCCATGCCCAGAGTCTCAGCTGTGACTCGATGGTTCCAGGTATTCTCTCTGTGTTGGTTGCCTTGATGTCGGGAAAGGCAGAGGTCAAGTATAATCCAGAGGCCATCCAGCCATCCAGAATAGCTCAGCTCATCCAGGACCTGGGCTTTGAAGCAACAGTCATGGAGGACAACACAGTCTCTGAAGGTGACATCGAACTGATTGTAAGTACAGTGGCTATCACCTAGATAGTGCAGGCTGTGGAGGGTGTAGGGATGAGTTTATGACAGCTGCTGTCCTTATACTTGCTGGCTGCTGGGCTGTATGCTTGATTTTGTTTGACTTGTTTAGTCTGGGAAGGAAGATTGGTTGTGTCAGAGAGTGAGAGGAGGCCATTCTATTGGGTATTCCATTGAAGTATCTGTCGACTTGCTAAGTGTCTGTTAGTGCAGCACTAAAAGCCAGTGAGCCTCTGCGTGATGGCTCTCCCTTGCTTGTCTTGTTCTTGGGTACCATGCTGAAAGCTGAGTGTGATGGTAATACGTGGATTCCCTTCTTGCTCCCTAATTCCAGATGGATCTCTCGTGGGTTATTGGGCATTTGTTTTGGAATTCTGCTGCACACTTTGAAGTGCAGTTCTAATCCCATGTCTCGATGTTCATCACCCTTCCAATAGCTTTGCAGAGTTCTAATCCCATGTCTTGGTGTTCATCACCCTTCCAATAGCTTTGCAGCCGCTGCCAGCTTAGCAACACTTTTCAGTTGAGTACACACAAGCCTTCATGCCGTGGATCTAACCAGCGCTTCAGACTTTCCTCCTCTTCCTTGTGTACCCAGTGCCCTGCCAGGCCTGGCTGCTGATGGCTGCCTGAACACCTCATGCTGTGCTGTCCTTTGATTTTTTTTTCCTCTGTTGTTATCCTTATCATCACCTATCAACACCTTCTCTGTGTTTTAGGAGCAGCTCATATTCTAACCCCTCCATTGGTCACTTTTAAAATGCTGTTCTTTTGATAGTGGTGGCACTGACATTATCTTCATTGGAGCCAGCAGGGCACCAGAGCAGAAGGTCCAGATAAAGGCTGCAGACTAGATACTAATGACACTTGAAGAGTTCCAAAGATTTTGCAAAAGTGCACTTCCATAAATTTGATACACAGTGATTGCTGTAGTGTTGCTGGTGAGAAAACACAAAGTAGAATGTTTTCCAAAAGCTCATTCTTACAGAATCATTCTGTAAGTCATTCTGACAAAAGTCAAACCTTGGTCTGCAGCTTTTGGCTAAATGACTGCCATTGCCTATTCTGGAACTGGAAGAAAGCCACAGAAGTCACTGTGACACTGGTAGGGTCAGAATCTTGTACATGAACTTAGGAGCAGGAGTCCTGTGTCTTGGGAAGAAACTGTGGAGGGGGAAGTAACTGACTGTTACTCAAGTTCTTGAGATACATTAGAAAGACTCCTCTCAGTTCTGGGATTTTTGTCCTCCTGTCCTGCAGATCCTAGGGATGACCTGTGCTTCCTGTGTTCACAACATTGAGTCCAAGCTCACGAAAACAAATGGCATCACGTATGCCTCTGTGGCCCTTGCTACCAGCAAAGCCCATGTGAAGTTTGATCCTGAAATCATTGGCCCTCGGGATATCATCAAGATTATCGAGGTAGTAAATTCCTGAAAACTTTGTATCCACTTTTACAAAAGGAATAATGCATAATTGTTGAAGAAAGTCAAGCCAAATTAAAAAGTCATCAAGAAGTTACCGACTTTTCCAAAGAGTAAGGTCGCTTAACTAATTGAAGAAGATTAGCAGGTTGCCTGAGCAGAGTGTCAGTGAATAGGTAAGAAAGAGTTGAGGCTGGACTGTCAAGGGGTCTCAGCAGGTGAAAGTGCTTGCTGTGCAAGCCTGACAACTCAAATTTGATTTCTGGAACCCATGGTCAGCAAGAACTGATTCCCCAAAGCTGTTATCCATGATTTTTGTATGTGTACATACATACACTCATACATTGTTTTCTTTTTAAAGAAAGAGGTGAGAAGAAAGAGATGATATTTTTAGTTTTAAACATTTCCTGAAAATCATCAGTCTTGACAAGATAACCTGGTGTGGAGCATTAACCTGCCCAACCACCATTTACAGATATTATTTCTATCTGTGTCAGATGTGTGTGGACTCAGGGAATGATGGCACTAGACAGATAATTCCTCGCTCACCTCCCTGCTAGGCTTGTAGGGGCATGTAGTCATCTTTGCATTAGGAAACAGAGGATTCATGACTGTCCCTGCTCCTGCTCCCTCTGTCTGTCCACAGACCCCCCCATTTCCTCCTTCATGTCGGTATCATACCAGACCTTGAGAGAATGACCTTCCATGTGGTGGGAATGGGTCAAGACAGTTCAAACCAAGTAAGATTAATCTGTAGCAGCCAGGGGTGAGGGTTATTACTTAGTGAACCCGACTGCTTATGAAATGAAACTTTATGGCAGGGTTAATGCCATGTTGTCCTTAATGTGTTCTTCCTCGGGCATGTTTGTTGTGTGGCCTGGCAGAGCTTTTGGATGTGGAAGTGCTACTGCTGTTTTATACAAGCAAGCTGACTAACTTCACTCTGGCTCATTAAATGAGGGTAGCGTCTCAGATGAGTTAAGTTCTTGCTCACTGATTTCTATCTCACAAGAGGCAAGATGGCACTCCCAGCTCAGGTCCCGTTCTACTGAACCCTAACTCTGAGAATAGTGTCCCATATCACTCATGGGGCTAACGAGTCACCACAAAGCTATAAGCAGGAAGGGGAGTTCTCAGTGGGAGTCTTCAAATGCAGCTCACTTCACTTTGACTTTTAATCCCCTTAGTTGCCTCCATCCTGCTCAGTGATTTGGAGCAGCTTCCTGGACCTTGGTCCTTAATGGAGAAATATTGGAATATTGCCTGGCTTCCAGGCTTGTGACTCTGGGGCATCTTTTCTTGATACAACTAGACTGGGATTAGTTATGAGAGTATTTGTCTTGTATTGCCTCACATGCACTTCTCCCATGACATTTCCTGTTGGAAAAGCTCAGCACCAGCATCCTGGGTCCTCTCTGTTACACCGAGAGGACATCTTCTGGTAGCTTTCCCCATGTGTATTCACAAGGAGTAGCAGAGAGAGGCCCTGAACACAGTAGGAAGTTTCTTGGCCTGAAGCCTAGAGATCTACACTCTGCACCCAGTACTTTAGCATACTTGTTCTCTCTTGTCCTCATCTTCCTCATGCACGGGTGAAGTACCAGACCACAAGGCATCTGGAATTCTAACTTGAGAATCTTTGATGTCAACCCTGGTCAGCTTTGGGACTCATGAAGTTAGTGTAACAATACCAACTGCCTTTACTTAACTAGGGAGAGGAATGACCATTCAAGTGCCTGTCCACAGGGTGTAGCATCTCTCAGCATAGAGAGTACTGAACCTCTGAACACGGTTAGACAGCCATTTAGGACAAAAAAGTCACGAGAGGAAAACCTTAGGTCACCGGAGGGACTTGGAGATTTTAAGTTCCAGTGCTGGAAATGCTTTCTACCTGTGCATATTTAACAGTACCTTCCCCCTTGTTCCCTACCTGACTCTTTCAATCACAAGGAAATCGGCTTTCATGCTTCCCTGGCCCAGAGAAATCCTAGCGCTCATCACTTGGACCACAAGATGGAAATAAAACAGTAGGTAGAAAATAGAGGGTTAACGGTAGCTCTGTCTAAGTCTCTATCCTCCTCTGCCCACTGACTCTGGCTCATGCATATGTGTTATGCTTGACTATGGCCCAGCCACCCCAGCTTCCTGTGTTGCCTTCTACCTGGGTTCGTTGCCTTTTACTCTTGGCATGTTATCATCTGGGACCACGCTATCTGTAGAAGTTTCTGGATGTTGGCAGCAGCTGTGTCTGTGCTGCCCTACTTGGTAGTGTACTTTAAGTGCAATAGTATGAGTATAGAACTGAAGCTTTTACATTTATTTATTTATTTATTTGGTTTTATTAATTTAAATTACTTTAAATAGTCACCTGTAGCTGACATGCTGGATGTGCTTTAGCTGGGATACAGGGAGGGGAAGGTTGGCTTTTTCTTTTATAGTCTATTTACGCCTGATTTGCATAAGTTCTAGAGTAGGATCTGAAGACAGTCCTCAGAGCTAAGTGGAAAGAAAACAGCCAGTGCAGGGAAGGACACTTAGCTCAGTGACAGAGTGTAGGCTTAGCATGCACAAGGCCCCAGAATCTCTAGCACAAAATGGGGGTGGAGGTGGAGGTGGCATGGCTTAGGATGCAGATACAGGTAAATTAGTTTCAGATGGTGACCTATCTTTCAGCACACTTGAAAGCTACTGTTGCATATAGCATAGTGGCTTAGAGTGGCTGCTTGCCTTGTTGGGAAGGAGTGAGCGAGCTATGACATCAATGGCTTAGGCAGATTCTGGAAGGTCCAGGAAGCAGGTGACCCAGGATTTGCAACTCATAGAAGTGTGTTAAGCTAAAAGAATCAGCAGGGAGTGAAGGTCCTTCTGGGGCTTTTGGAGTACCTGCAGCTTAGTCCAGTCCGCTTGCCTAGGGTGTAGGGGACTGGCAGGCCAGAGTTTGGGAGGCTAGTGGGTCTGCCTCTAGGATGGCCTCAGGCAGCAGCCTGCACATGTAGGATTGCAGATCTACATTAGGGTACAGAACTTAAAAGTACCTTCAGTGAATTCCTGCTTGGAATATCATGCATGTTGTAGCTCACATGAAGCCACAGATGTCTTCTGTCATCCTTGGTTCTAAACTTTTGTGTTTATTGACAGCTTCAGTAATCTTTTACTCTTATTTTAAATAGTTGTTTAAAAATTGGTTGTGTAAATAAGCTTATACTAATAAAATGCTATTTCTGTCCATTTCTCTGTAAGACAACAAAGAGAGCTCTAGGCTTCTGTAGGCTAGGAATAGTAACCTCTTTGGAGCCAGTTCTCATCTTCTGGACCTCCATTGCCGCACCTATAAATTGGTGGTCACATACCAGTTTATGCAAAGGCAGAGCTAAGCCCAAATGTCTTTGTTGCAATGCCTGGCCCTTTAGATTAATGATAGTGTCATGGGTGGAAACCTCACTTTTGTTTTAGTCTAACCTGATTCCAGTGCCAAGTGGTTCTCATGTGTCTGTGTTGCTGATTTTGCCTTCTAGATGGAAAAAATCTTTCCTGTGTAGCCTGGTGTTTGGCATCCCTGTCATGGGCTTGATGATCTACATGTTAATCCCCAGCAATAAGCCCCATGAGCCGATGGTCCTGGACCACAACATCATTCCAGGACTGTCAGTTCTAAATCTCATCTTCTTCATCTTGTGTACCTTTGTGCAAGTATGTATTGGAAAGCTGGGCAAACCTCTGCCCTTTGTGCCCAGGCATGGCCAGAGGATCTCTGCTCTTCAAGTGTGTCAGCAGCCCTTTAGCTTGGTTCCAGTGGCACTTCATTGCAACTTTGCTGCCTTCCCTCTGGGTAGCTGCTACTGTTATTCCTGTCTTATGACCAGAAGGGAGGGCAGTGTAGAGGGGGGGCAGTGTAAAGTGCGGGCACCAAGAAAGGTCTGGTTTCACTGTCAACTTCACATGTAATTGCATGTGATTGAAACTTGTTAGAATAGCTATCCTCTACTTGTAAACTTGGTGAGCCTGTATGTTCCCGATGTATATGCATATGTGTGCGTGCGTGCGTGCGTGCGTGCATGTGTATGTGTGTATGTGTGTATTGCTGGTGACAAGACTCAGAACCTTGTATGTGCTAGGCAGGTATGCGATCTCTCAGTCACTCTTCAAACCCCTATTTCCCTGATTTGCTTATTGTTTAATTTAGTTTACCTTTGTTTTTAGAATTATTAGATGAATGTCCCTGGAGCTCATGCTCCCTTGGAATGTTCTATCCTAAAAGGCAAAGCCATGGCCTTCATCCCTGGGGAAAAATTGTCATTTAACTCAGACAGGCTTTTTGGAATGTCTGCTGTGCATGCAGGCATATCTATGCATAGAGAATGCCTGCATGTGTACATTTTGGCATATAAAAACTAGGACTAGTTAGGGGTAACCACTTGTAGGCTAAATTACTTTCCTATATCTTCTTTTTAATGGCATACAAGCTTTGCACTTATTGTAAGTAATTTCAGCAACACGGAAGCAAAGGGAAAGGTATTCTGACTAAATACACTCTCCTCTGGCCCAGTCCTATATGTTTATGTGTATGCATGCATGTTCATCTATATAGGCACAGATATTTGTTAGTGGAAGTGGGGATGTGTTAGACACTATGGATGCTGGCTCTTTTATTTCAACCACAGATATATGCCATTGGTTACCTTCTCTCTAGAGACCATTTAGAGTAGAAATGAGCCATCATCATTGTCGTTGTTACCATTCTCTTGTTATGGACATTTGCTTGGCTGCCTGAATTTTAAAGGTTTCATATTCTTGCTTGTCTACTTTTGTGGCCAGTAGTACTCTGACAAGAAAGTATGCTTCACTGGAGGTTGAGGCAGAGTGTGTGTCATCAGTATCAAATAATCACCAAGAACAGATGTGTACAGGATCCTAGAACCCTCATCATTCTGAGGGCTCCTGGACCCTCTTCTTCCTTGTCTAACCCTTACCCTCCCTGTCTTTCAGTTCCTTGGTGGGTGGTACTTCTATGTTCAAGCCTACAAATCTTTGAGACACAAGTCAGCCAACATGGACGTGCTCATCGTACTGGCCACAACCATTGCCTATGCCTACTCCCTGGTCATCCTGGTGGTTGCAGTCGCTGAGAAGGCTGAGAAGAGCCCTGTGACATTCTTTGATACACCCCCAATGCTCTTTGTGTTCATCGCCCTTGGGCGGTGGCTGGAGCACGTGGCAAAGGTAGCTACAGCTAGCTACAGGTTAAGAAAAGAACCATTCCTTTGGGTAATCTGAGTTTCAGTCCATCGGCAGCATGTGTTGAGAACCACTAATTACACGTGTTATAGAGAATGACAGAAGAATCTGAATCCCTATGTAATTAGGGGCTGCAGTCACTAATCGCCCAGTTGGTTGTTCCCTCTGAAATCCCAGCTAATCTGGCTAATTAGTAAAACCTTTGTTCAGGTAATTGTGCAGTGGAACAAACTCTGAACTCTATGCCAGAGCTCACATGGTCTCTTAGTGCCTAATGGATTGTAGTTAGTGTAGAAATACACACCTTCACCTCAGGCTTGGGTGATGTGTAACACTCTGCACTGAGCCCAGCATTGGCATGGAGCCTATAAATGAGGGTAAGGAAATTATATTGAGGGTGAAAGACAATGGCCATTGGACAGATTGGGATACTTTTCATCTGAAATGGAACCCCAAGATCTGCTTAGGCAGCACTGGCCCTGGCCTTTCCTTGTGGTGCTGGCATGCATGGCTGCCTTAGTGGTTAGTGGTGTGACCATGTTTTTTGCACCAGCCACCTTTGATACCATGCTTGTGAGTGTCAGCCTGGATTTGGACAGTCAGCTCTCATTTTACATTCTGGTTATTTCCTAGAGCAAAACTTCAGAAGCCCTTGCAAAACTCATGTCACTCCAAGCCACAGAAGCCACAGTTGTGACCCTTGGTGAGGACAACTTAATCCTCAGGTGGGTTGTGTCCATTAGTAGATCTTGAGATCCTTTTACATCATCTGTGTAGTTCATAGCAAGTGTCCATCCTGTAGTAAATGATGTTGTTTAGGCCACCATAGTCATTACCCTGAGGCACCACCCTATGCCTGTATTGGCTGCTAGTGCTTCTCCACATTCAGACTGGTGACCTTTCTAAAGGTTTGTATTGTACCAGTCTGTCTGTACTGCTGTGTAGTAGAATCCTTCAGCAACTCCCTGGTTTCTTAGGGTAAAGTCTCTAACCCTTAACATGGCAGTGGACCTCTGGTTTCAGCTGTGTACGCCCCTCTCAGTGTGAAGCAAGTATAGCCACCCCCTGGCATCCATGAAACTTGGTTCTAGGATCCTCAGAAACCAAGTTACTTCATGCTCAAGCCCTTCCTCTGAAATGGAATAGTGTTTGCATAGAATTTCATATCCCCCCACATACTTCAAATCATGTTTAGAATAATCATGATACATTTACAATGCAATTACTATGTAAATAGGTTTTATACTGTATTGTTTAGAGAACACTAATGCAAAAATATGTGTATGTTGAGTACAGACAGGTCTGTGTTGTGTGTCGTCATCTCCCGGTTCCTCTGTGTGTGTGTGTGTGTGTGTGTGTGTGAGAGAGAGAGAGAGAGAGAGAGAGAGAGAGAGAGAGAGAGGGTTTTTTTCTGGGGATGGGACCTAGGACCTCTTACATGCTAAGCAAGTGCTGAACCACCAGACTATATCCCACTCCCTTTCCTGAATGTTTTTGATGCAAGATTGGTTGTGTCTGCTAATTTAGAATTCTCACACACATAGGACTTGCTGTAAAGGTCTAATAGTCAGTCTAGGAACTGGTCTGGTTATACATCAGGAGGATGTTATCTGGGTGTCATCTATTGCAGAGAGGAGCAAGTGCCCATGGAGCTGGTGCAGCGAGGTGATATTATCAAGGTTGTCCCTGGGGGCAAGTTCCCAGTGGATGGGAAAGTCTTGGAAGGCAATACCATGGCAGATGAGTCCCTCATCACAGGTTAGGTGGCCCGTTTTATGTTCCCTTTGGTGGGTGTCATGGTAGTCATAGGCCCATGTGATGTTGAGTGGGCTGAATGACTGATTGACATTTGTCTCTTCTCCTCTAGGAGAGGCCATGCCTGTCACTAAGAAACCTGGGAGCATAGTGATTGCTGGCTCTATAAATGCTCATGGCTCTGTGCTCATTAAAGCTACCCATGTGGGCAATGACACTACTTTGGCTCAGATTGTGAAATTGGTGGAAGAGGCCCAGATGTCAAAGGTAATGATGAGACTTAAACCATGCTATGAAATCCCTCCTTTGAGAAATGACCTCAAGGGGATTTAGCTCAGTGGGTAGCCTAGTATACCAGAGGCCCTGGATCCAATCTCCAGCACTGACTAAAATGGAGTGGTGGAGCCACACAGTCCTTATACCCCTAGTTAGTCCAGAGGTGGAAGCTGGAAGGTCAGGACTTTAAGCTCATCCTTGGCCTCAGCCAGCTCTAGACTACCTGGATGACATTATACTTTGCCTCAAAGCAGATGTGAGGAATGATTTTAAAGCTTCATAGCACTACCAGTCAATTATTGAGTAGAGATTGATTCCCTAAACACAGTAATGGAGGGAGCTTGGACCCAAACCTTACTCCTGTCTGTCTTTGTAGGTTATAACATCCTGTGGTCTCAATGCTTTATTTCCATAGGCGCCCATTCAGCAGCTGGCTGACCGGTTTAGTGGATATTTTGTCCCATTTATCATCATCATTTCAACCTTAACATTGGTGGTATGGATTGTCATCGGTTTTGTCGATTTTGGTGTTGTTCAGAAATACTTCCCTGTAAGTCGGATGCCTTGGACAGGATATTTGTCGTGCTTCAAGTAACTTACTGCCATTAATCTTATTCCTTTGTGTCTTGGACTCCCTGGGCTTTATTATATTTTATTTGCTTCTTTTACTTTTTGGCAGCAAACTCTAAGTCATAGTAAGGTAATGAGCCTACTTCTGAAGGTCTTTATTGATAATGCTCACTGAAAGTCAGGAATCTAGCTCAGCGGCAGAGTACTCACCTAGCACGTGCAAGGCCCTGGGTTCCATCATTGGCACTGATGCCCACATGCACAAGTGCCATTTGTTTTCTACTCAGAGGTAGTTATCATTACATCATTTGGCTCCCAGTTGGGATGCTTCAGGGATTTACAATATGCAATTTGTTGACCATTACTGAGTTTATAAGGCACATGTAGAAAATAGACCACAATTTAAGATGGCACAATACTATGTTAGATCTTAGGGGGAAGTGTATCTTTCGATACCTATATCCGCTTCAGTATCCTGCTTTCCCAAGCAATAATGCTTCTCAGTGTATATATATGTAGTGATAGACAAAGCTTTTTGATAATTAAACATTTATTTAGCAGCAGAGTAAGGTGATGCACATTTTCTAATTTTAGGAAATACGTGAAGAACACCATCGTAGGAAATATTGTTTTATCAGACTTCAAAAACCACTGGGAAGTACAGTGTGTCCTCAAAACAATGTATGTGCTTAAGAAACAAGAACTAATTCTCAAGGACACCTAGCAGTATCTAAAGACACTGTGGTTTTTATGAAGTAGGTGCTACATGCATCTACATGGAGGCCCACAATTAAGAGGCCAGTAGTGCCAGAAATGAACAGCTAATGACCCACCAGTGCCTCCAACTGCCTAATGAGTGGAGCATCATCTCATCTTATCTCATGCCAGGGCTTGTTTTAGCTTAGAGTTATGTAGTAAAGAACTAAAGACCGAGCCTGCAGGTAAAGGTATACCAGACATGGCGCATGTTGCTTACCAAGATGCTGCTTTCTCCCTCAGTATTTGTATTTTAAGTTGAAAGAGTCTCAGTTGAGTACTTTGTGGCATCTAAGAAGCCCCTTGGTGCTCTAGAGTGACCTGTGAATGTGTTCCTAGAGTTGCCAGCGGCAGTGCCCTGGCTGTCAAGGGCTCTGCTTTTTGGGAAGTTGGGAGTATGTGGTTCTCTGTTGTTCCATGCTTTGCCCTCTTACTTTGATTCTTTTGTCTTTATTTTCAGAATCAGGGTGTGTACTAATAACTGGAGTACTGAATGTTTCTTTTAGATACTGTCATCACTGAGGCAAGAATATCATTTGTAGGGTGGGGTCATGTTAGTTTCCAGAAGTTTATCCAGTGCCACTAAAATGCCAAGTGTCATCTTAATAAGAATGACTGTAAAAAAATCACATTATCTTTATCTCTTAATAATCACATATTTATTAAGTAATATGCCCTTTTATGTGAATACAATGGTTTCTATGAAAATTTAATGACTTACAATATACCTTATTTTAGACTTGTGTCTTCTAAAATGAAAGGATAAAGGATGAAAAGAAGTTATGATTTGTAATCTCAATTCAGAAAACATACTTTTTATTGTAGTTAGTGAATGTAGTGGCTCTTAGAATAATGTTCCACAGCCATAGCCATTATGAAAATGCAGCAAGATGAATGAAGATCCCAGGTAGCAAGTAACAATTTCCCTGTGTGCCACTACATTGTAAAGTAGACCTTTATTTTGTTTTCTTTGGGCAATGAAACATGCACAGAAGAATAAAAATTGTTAACTAGAAAGTGCCCCCAGTGCTACCCTTTGCCACTTTCTGTATTTAATACACCAGACAGAGAATTTAATAGTGTGAATAAAGCCACAGCACGTTTCCTTTTGTTGCCTTTTAAATTTCACCGTGCCACTGGTGCCTTTCTGCAATTAGTACATGTAGCTTGTGCATCATCTTCCTGACAATTGCCCAGTACTCCACTGTGCCTATAACTTAGCTGACCAATTCCCTTTTGGTTGTTCCCAGGCTTTCCTATTATATTATAGTATATTATGCATAATTATATTATCTACTATAAATATCCTTGTATCATCTAAATGTAGATTCTTTGGAGAGCTACTGAAGCTTTCATAGTAATGAAGCCAAAAGTGATGACGATGCTGTGGTTGTAATGTCTAATGTGCCATGCCAGTGCTGTCCTGTGCAGATGTCTGCGTATGTGCATATTGCCTCATTTATAAGCACAAAGCACTTTGTGAGATACTTCAATACTACTTTATTCCTGGGGAAACTGAGGCAGAGAGGAGTGGCCTAACTCCTGAGTTTGTGCTCCGTCAGGGGGTACATGACTCCCTCCTGTCCGACCTTGCCTCTTTGAGGGAAATTGTAGGAAGAAGGTGGGAAGTAGGAAGTGCGGCCAACTCTGATACTGAAGCTGCACAGAATACAGTCACCTCGTTCTCACTTCCCCCTGCCCCACTGTGACTGTCTTAGTGGGAGATTCCTCCCTGAGTGCTCCAACGGATGTTTCTCTCCTCTGCAGAACCCTAGCAAGCATATCTCGCAGACAGAGGTGATCATCCGTTTTGCCTTCCAGACGTCTATCACTGTGCTGTGCATTGCCTGCCCCTGCTCCTTGGGGCTGGCCACACCCACAGCAGTCATGGTGGGCACTGGGGTGGCTGCCCAGAATGGTGTCCTAATCAAAGGAGGCAAGCCTCTGGAGATGGCACACAAGGTGAGCACCTGTCAGGTTCTGGCTCTTCTCTGTGGGAACTTGGGTAATAGTTTTTACAGAGTCCTTATAAAAACAGTATCTCTATACGATTTCTTAAGAGGAAAGCTCAGCAGGGCGTTGGTGGCGCATGCCTTTAATCCCAGCACTCGGGAGACAGGCAGGTGGATCTCTGTGAGTTCGAGACCAGCCTGGTCTACAAGAGCTAGTTCCAGGACAGCCTCCAAAGCCACAGAGAAACCCTGTCTCAAAAAACCAAAAAAA